CTTTGGAAAGATATGTTTCTTTTATATATCTGTACATAAGCAATGCCAAGCCTCAGTAATGTCTAGGAAATAGCTACTTCACTATTAAGAACTAACATATATGTTGAAAGTACTTTCTAACTGAAATATTTGAAAAAAAAATAAAACAGGTCGCAGAACAATGATAACAATTATCTGATTAACTTTCTTCTAAACACAATTATCATTAATGCAGCAAATGGTTGTCTACATATTGCCAGCTATTAAAATGACATCTAAAGAGCTTTTCATCAACAGAATTCAAAGTTTATGCTTCTGAGGTCATTCGGGGAACACATATGCATATCTCCATTTAAGACAGGTTTATGCAAATGCTTTCAGAAACTGGAATGATCTGAATGATTTGGCTATTGTCACTGAAGAGAGGCATATGGGTATGTGTAGGAGACAGTTCTGGTGTTTGTGAAACAGTTGGAAAATGAACGACAACAGGGAGTTCTAAGCCTGAAGAAATGTGATATATAGCTACAAAAATAAGCAAAAGAGAGGTGGGAAATATTAGCTAGTCAAGTTTTGGTCTGAGTACTGGCCAAAACAAAGTCCTGTTGATTTATTTGTGCAAAGAATTCTCTCTCACACTCAGAAAATCATTATTTGTAAGTAAAGAAGGCTGCATCACAGCCATACAGCTCCCAGCATCAGTTTCCCCTCCAAACTGAAATCACAGCAAAGCTCTGAATTTTGACAGCTTGCTTGTGTCAGAGATTCATAGCAGTATCCTGAGATGATCATGTATAGGTTGGAACCAGCGGGGATTAGAACTGAGTTCAGGGCTCAGATGGGCACAGCAAGTGCCACGCTCACCTCCTCACGGTTCAGGAAGAAATGAGGGCAAGCACATCTGACGGTGGTGCTACAGCCCACACTTTCTTTTATTTGAAGGACCAGGTGTCCAGGGAATAGTTTCCAGATACCAGCTCTTTTCTCTCTCCCCACAAAGCAACCACAAGGACTGAATTAGGGTGTTTATGGATATTTAGCATGTTGACTCAGAACTAAAGCAGAATCTAGTGGCAGATTCACCTGCATGATTCCTCAGATATCCTGTCACAGCATTCCCTGAAACTTCCCCGAATGCCCTAGATGGAAGTTCCCTTCATATACATAAATAGTTTGTTTTGTTTAAATCTGTATACCGCTTTCACAGTGTCAGACTTGTGTGTTTACCTTAGAATTTTCTTCAGCACAGAGATGTCAGCACAGATGTGAGGAGCTGTGTAATTAATTTTTCAGTAAGGACAAGCAGAGTCAGGGAAGAACAGCAAGCTAGCAGAAAATCTGAAAGTAGGATGATAAAATTCAGGAGTACGTCTTCTGCGGAAGTCAGTCAGTTCTCTTAGTATTAAGTGGCCAACAGAGACCATGATGATTCAGGGGAGAAAACCAAAGTCATCCAAAATAAAGCGAGGCAGTGCAGAAAAAACAGTGATGTTTCAGGACCACTGTATCTACTCCTGGAAGTAATTTTATCCAGGCCTAGAACACCCTATCTGTAGTCCAGAGGCTGAAGCTACGCTATGGCATGTTAGTCATCTTTGCTGTAAAGTCCAGTGGAGACAACCGTAATTTTCTTCTGAATGTAGACATGGCAAGCCTGAGCTAACGAGAGAGAGGAGAGCAGAATGTCTGCTTATAGGAAAATGAAAACTGCATGTAGCTTGCCTCTACTGGGACTGGGCAGTGAGATAAGTAACTGAAAATAAACAGCTATGTAAAGAGAAAAAGGTGTTCTTCAGTCAGGAGTGCGTAGCTGTAGTGGTTACCTCAGTTTTGTGGCTGGTTAGTGGTGTGTTCTCCGGCACTTTTCCATGCCTCGTTTACACCTGTTTGCTGTAAATGACTATGGGATTAAGTCATTAAGTGTTTCAGTAGGTCAGAACAGTCCAGCTCCCATTTAAATGCCTCAGTATGAGACTGCAAAGCATGATACTCCTCTCAGGTGTCTTGGTGGGGGAACCCAGGTTCAGGCTCTGGCAGCGGATCACACAGTGAACCCGGCGGTTTTGCAGAGTTCAGAAGTGGGAGGCTTTTTATTGCTGCCCTCAGCTTTTAAAAATAGCAACACCTTTCCCACGTTCAGCGTGAATTAGAGATCTCGAGAAGTAACGCACTCTAAGTAAGTCTTGCTTAACTGTGGGAGGCAATATCGGAGCCGATAACGTTGGCGATACGTTGAAGGCGATAACGTTGAGGAGGCCCGTTTAGTTACGATGCTGAGCCAGCCCTGACCCGGAGGCTGCCTCTCTTAAGCCGCTGCGGACAAGCCCGGCTGCGGTAAGCGCCGCCGCGTAACTGCCGTTTGCAGGGCGTGGGGCGCTTCTCCTGGCCGGCGGGCGGCCCA